GGTCCCTAAACTACAAAATTCAACTTAAAAGTCCTAAACTATTCTCTCATTCAACTATTTAGTCCCCTCGACTAAAGTTGACCGTTAGCGTAGTCCGTAAACTATGAAAATAAACTAATTTAACTGTGAGATTTTTTGTGGAAAATTTGTGAAGTACAAAGGAAAACAAATTTTAAAGATACTTCAAAAAAATTAGAAGTTACATAATGAGAAATATGACATCAAATAAAAGGTCATTGAGTGAAGTTTTTTTTTTTTTAAACAACCAATGTTAGTAGTTAGTATTAATAGATTTTTGCTTCAAAAAAAAAGTATTAATAGATTTTGTTGTGTGTGGGAATCGAACCTTGACTTCCTTATCAATCCACTTCAGCCACCAAACCATCCTTATAACTCCTCACCGACTAAATATGTTGGTTGCAGATAAGCTTTATAAGTATCACATATTTGTGGACTAGGAAAAAATGTATTTAACAAGAAAAATTGAACATTTGAAGCTAATTAGTTGTTTTTCATGAAAGTTAATGAACTAAATTGATTTATTTTCATAATTTAATAAGGACTGCTAACGGTCAATTTAACATGAGTGTTAACTGAGAGAATAAATAGTAAGATGAGATAATAGTTTAGAGACCTTTTTAGTTGATCTTAATAGTTTAGAACTAAATAGTTGGATAATAGTTTAGAGACCTTTTAATTATTATTATTTAATCATTTTAGAGATCTTTTAGTTGATTTTAATTTTAATAGTTTAAAGACTATATATTGGTGAGTGAGTGATATCATAAGGACTAAATTGTGGATTTATTCCATTAGAATTACTCAATTGGTAGTGAGAATGGATTGAACATGTACTTGAACCCCGGGGTACGTGGTTCGATTCCCACGAAAGGCAAAAAACTCTACTAGAGAGGGGGGTAGAGAAGATCGTGAGGTACAACGCCGAGATTGCCTACTAAATACGTAGAAAAGGGGTCCGAGCTGTTACACAGGGTATTGATTACTATGAAGCATTTTCACCTGTGGCAAGGCATGAAACTATCAGGCTTGTGATTGCATTAGCTTGTAGCAAGTCATGGTCCATTTATCATTTAGATGTGAAGTCAGCCTTCTTGAATGGTCCACTTGTGGAAATTGTGTATATCACTCAACCACTTGGTTTTGTGATTCAAGGAAAGGAAGATAGAGTGTACAAGTTGCATAAAGCACTGTATGGGTTGAAAGAAGCTCCAAGAGCTTGGAACAAGAGAATTGACAGGTTTTTCTTAGAGCAAGGCTTTAAGAAATGTGTAACTGAACATGGAGTTTATGTAAAAGGGAAGATGAGATCAAAAGTTATGATCATTTGTCTATTTGTTGATGATCTTTTAGTGACTAAAAATTGTGCTCAATACATTGATAGATTCAAATTGAAGATGAAGCAGGAATTTGAAAGGACAGACTTAGGCAAGATTGCTTATTTTCTGGGCATGGAGATACTTAACACTTCAAAAGGTTTGATACTACACACTACAAGAAAACAATGCATTATTGAGGGCCAAAAGTCTTCAAGAAGGACTAAAATCCGTCAA